AGGGGGGGAACTGCAGAACCTGAGGCCAGGCCCCCAGCAAGTCTGTTATGGGGTTGGGGAGAGTGGTAGAACGCTGGATTTAAGGTGAAGAAAGGCTTCCCCTCCTTTGGCAGGTTGTCACCAGTGATGCTAGGTAGAGGAAGGCAGCTCTGCTCAACTAACCGGAGAATACTAGTGAGAGAAGGGCTAGGAAACAAGCCACAGTGATTTATTGAGAACGAGGAGCATTTTGGGGGAAATGAACTGACCATCTCCTCCATCTAAACCCAGAGCTTGTACTCAACTATGGAAGTAGTCTGTCCTCAGTCCAGCTCCCTCTTGTTTTTAATCTTATCAAAAACCAGGACCTGAGTCCAGAGCACAGTGAAGCATAAAATGAAATAGACACCACAGTGGATATGCCTTAACTGCTCCCACAAACCTGCAAAACAGTATTTCCCTTGGCTGTGCCTCAGCAGTTCCAACCACAGGAGTTTTCTCTCTTGTGTTTCAGAGGGTCTGGATCTTGAACTGAATTTAGGGTTAAAGTGTGTCCTCCCCACCCCTTGGGTGTCTGCTTCCAGTGGCAAGCTTTACACCCTTGGGTAGAAGACTTAAAGTGGTGTTGGTTGCGGGTTGAAGGGACCGGCATATATGCCCATTTTGAGGCTGAGGTGGAGTAGCGTCGCACTTGGTCACCCTGGAGGGGTCATGAGCAAGCCACTATGCTGGGTGGGTCCCCGTGTGTGGCTGTGGCCACTTGAGCTACATTTGGGGGCCGAGTATTTGACACTCTTGAGTTTCACAATGGGGGCGGGTTCATCTGGACTCTAATGTGCCCTCTGTGTTCTCTGAGCTAATTTTCTTTGGCTCTCAGCTCTCACTTGGAGGTGGCGATGCTGCAGGGGGCGGTGGCGGTGGTCGTTGGCTGGGCTGGGGGCTGTGCAGTCGGAAAGGAGGCTGGTCACGGCTTTGGGCGACCTCGACACGACCCGGCACAGAAGACAACTAGCCCCGGAGGAGACGAGCGTGCCCCACACAACTCTTGACTGCTGCAGGGGGAACGACTAGGTGTGCCCGCGGCGGGGAGGGGACGCACCCGCGCGAGTGCTCGCAGCCTTCATTTCCCTATCCCTGGGCGGGGGAGGGGCCCCAGTCGCCGCCGAGGCCGCCGAGCGGAGAAAGTGCGCGAAGGGGCCGCGGCTGCCGGCCTCACACGTGACGGCCCCGCGCGCGGAGCCGAGCCGGCCCGGGGGTGGCGGCGGTGACGGGCGCAGCGGGGCGGCGTGGAGCCGCGCGGGCTGCCTGGAAGCTCCGGGAGCGGCGCGCGCGACCCGGCGCCGCCGCTCTCTCGGTCTCGCGCTGCACATTCTCTCCTGGCGGCGGCGCCACCTGCAGTAGCGTTCGCCTGAACATGGCGACACGGAGCAGCAGGAGGGAGTCGCGACTCCCCTTCCTATTCACCCTGGTCGCGCTGCTGCCGCCCGGGGCTCTCTGCGAGGTCTGGACGCAGACGCTGCACGGCGGCCGCCCACCTTTGCCGCAGGACCGGGGCTTCCTCGTGGTGCAGGGCGACCCGCGCGAGCTGCGGCTGTGGGCGCGCGGGGACACCCGGGGGGCGGACGAGAAGCCGCTCCGGAGGAGACGGAGCGCTGCTCTGCAGCCGGAGCCCATCAAGGTGTATGGACAGGTGAGCAGTTTGCAACCCGCCTTCCAGCCCTTTCCTCTCCCTGCACTTCCTCACCCCCGCATCCATCATTAGCAGTCGCCTCCCAGGTGCAGGCACCACTGGGGACTTCCCTGCTTGCATTTGCCCTCCCCCCCACCCCCCCTTGAGTACAACCGTCAGCACTTGAATTGCATTGATCTTTCCTTCTTCCTGTAGCTTTTAGCAGACGTATTCCAGGTGACTGGCAGGGTGCAGTGCATTATTTCCCCAGGGTGACCGCTGACCTGTGTAGTTTAGGGTAGGTGTAGGAGGGGTGCAGCTTCATTTTACGTGTGGATAAAAAACGGGCTTTCTTTAGTGTTATCATCAGTTCGCAGTGGCGAGGAGCACCCTGCAGTTGCAGTACATTTACACAGAACATTAAGAGGAAGGGGTTTCCACACTTAACCATTTTTAACCACGATTGAGGTGAGCGAACTGGAAAGCTTGACTATCTTGATATAATCAAGAAGGGTGTGTGTGTGTGTGTGTGTGTGTGTGTGTGTGTGTGAGAGAGAGAGAGAGAGAGAGAGAGAGAGAGAGAAAGAGAAAGAGAAAGAGAAAGAGAGAAAGAGAGAAATTGGTTCTATCTATTCCACCTCCCCTTCAAGATACTGACTTTATTTTGGACAGGAATATCTCTCGTAACACTTTGGGGATTTGAGAGACTGCAAGAATTTAGTGGGTATGATTATTCTATAATATTTCTATCCAGGCAATGGGTTTATTAGATCATAAGTAACATGAATTTCACTTTTATGGCAAAGCTTACTGCGAGGAATTGCACGAGTTTGTGGGCTAGTATCAGCATTGGCAAAATTAATTTGTCAGTGTTATTGCTTTATGAGACTCCCAGCCCCGCTGTTAAGATGGACATCAGTAAAACTAGAAGGTCAGTGGGGGAGAAAATTTGGGACCATTGGAGGTGGTGAATTGAATGATTTCTAAAGTCAAAGTGTTCCCTTTTTAAGTAAAAACGAAAAGATTAGTCTGAGTTTTGCCGCTCTTCACTGATTTTCCTTTAACCATTTCTTCAGGAAATGATACAGAGTTCAATGTTCTACCCTTGGAGCCAGGAAGAACCTTATAAACCATCTTACCCTATTGTGTCATTCTGATGATGAAGAAACCAAAGCTGTGGAAAGTGAAGTGACCAGCCCAAGGTCACATGGGGTAGTTTTGCCTGCTCTTTGGCGTTTGTCTGCAGTTTCTCAGTGACCTTTGGGTGATCAGATAGTTGCCCTGTCTTTATACGATGCATCTTAAATACCTCCTTTTAACTCATATATATATATATATATATATATATATATATATATATATATATATATATGGCTATAAAGGGGGAGGGATGGTGGTGAGTGGGTGGGAGCATTTGACATCCATCCACCATCAGCACCTGGGCATGAGCTTGTGCCAGTGGGCATGGAATTGCTGGTGGGTATGGGCTGCTGGAGCCTTCCTGCTCAGTTCCCTGCTGAGTCCAGATCCTTGTTCCCCTCCCCATCTCCATCTGAAACTTCTTTTTTGTATTGTTGAAAAGAAGTCAACAAGGACCTGGCATTCCACTGGGATGCCAGCATCCCGATGGAGAGGGAAGGAGAAAGAGAGGCTCCCTTGTTCATTGAGTCTTCCCAGTGAGCCCAGCTCTGCAGTGGGCTTGAATCAACTCTTTGGGGGTGGAGAGCAGGAGACAATCCTTTCAAGAGCTCAGGACCCCTGTAGCTATAGTTTTGGCTGAGGGAAGAGCTTCCTGGTATAAAAAATAGGCACACAGGTACCATTTCTGCCTTGGGTTTGGTTTCTGAAAGTTCCTGAGGATTTGGGACAAGTTAAAAGATGACCTGTGTTCTCATTGAGAGTGACTCCAAAACCTTCAGCTTTTTATATTTCTGAACCAGCCAAATTGAGTTTGGTTTCGTTGAAGGATGGAGAGCTAGCAGTCCAGCAAACAATGAGGAATTCGTACCAAAAGTGAGGACACAGGACAGTGTTTTTTTCTTTTCTGAGGCTGCCTTCCTATGCCTTGTTCTTTTGCCCCGAGGTTAATGAAAGGGGGATTAATTTGAATCTGTAAGGATTTGAGTTAGCTAGAAGGAAGAACTTCCGGGTACTGGGCTTCATGCCACGAGCACCATCTGGTGCAGACGCTTCAGACTGCAAGCACAGGAATCAGTGACTGCAGGGGCTTGGCCTGCCCTGCCCCTCTTGAGGCTCTGGAGTAATTCACATTTATTTGGAAATGACTTTTCTAGCAAAGGTGACCATTTGCCTGTTTTCCTTGGGACAGACCTAGTTTATAAGTTGTCCCTGCTGGTTATGAAAAGTGCTGCCTTCACTCTCAAAAGTATCAGGATGTGGACTATAAATTACATGGCCATCCTCCTAGCCCTAAGCCAAGTGCCGTTTTAGACTCCCTCCCTTTAACTTTAAACCTATGGAGTTGCGATGTTTTTCAATAGTATTGCTTGAATCGAGTGTGGTTGTATAGATGGGGGTGGGAAAGATTTCATCCCTGCTTTCAGAAAACTTACAATTTAAGGAGGAGTTAAAGCAGATGCAAATATAGGCATGTGAATGTACCAAATAGGAACAAGTAAACATGGATGCAACAAACCAGTCACAGCTCTGCAGTGGGGTGTTAGTGGGTTGTGTGATATTTGGAGGGCATGGGAGATGGGGTGATAAGGGGTCAGTGGGCTCCAGCACTCTGCAGCTTCTGGCCCTCTGACCTCTGAGTGAGGTTAAGAGGATGCCTGGCAGCACAGATTAAGGCTGGAAGCAGAAGCGGCCTGAATGAAGAAGCCCGAGGGGGTGATAGATATTAAGGCCACCAGCTTCAGGGAGAGGAGCAAGAAGGGCTTTTTTCTGGGATGTTCTGCATCTGAGAAAGAGCCGTGTGTTGTAGTCAGTTCTTTTTCTCCCGCTCTGCTAGCCTATGGGTGAATGGTTATTTTGACCATATGCTTCCTCATGTTTTCTAGTGTGGGAGACTGGGGTCTGCCGTGACTCCTTAGAGGCATGTTTGTGATCATGAAATACGGTAATAATGGTGAGAGCAATCTGCTATCAGATATTAGGACTTTTCTTCCCAAGTTCAAAGTTTGGAAGTTGAACCCCTTCTAAAAAGGTCAAGGCCAAGAAGGGGAGTTCCATAATTCTTGCCACACTGAATTTCTTCCTGATGATTTTGTCAGCTCCATGCCTCTGTGCCGTTATGCTTGCTTTTTCCTCTGCCTGAAATGGTTTTTCCCACTCTTGTCTTTGCCTAGAAAACCTCTAGCCATTCTGTTCTTCAACATCCAAGGAATACCTCGTAATATTCTCAGGCTTTAGAGCAGCGGTTCTCAACCTGTGGGTTGCGACCCCTTTGGAGGTCGAACGACCCTTTCACAGGGGTCGCCTAAGACCATCAGAAAACAAAAAGGTATTTACATTACGATTCATAACAGTAGCAAAATTACAGTTATAGAGTCGCAACGAAAATAATTTTATGGTTGGGGGTCACCACAACATGAGGAACTGTATTAAGGGGTCGCGGCGTTAGGAAGGTTGAGAACCGCTGCTTTAGCGGGAAGAGTTCTTCTGAGCTCAAATACAGCCTTGTGTTATACTTGTTTAACTGTCTCATCTCCCTATTTGCTCCTTGAGAGCACTGATCACGTCTTTCTCTTATCTGTGTCCCTGGCACTTGGGAGATTCCTTAAGGAATATTTATGGGCCTACTGCACACCTGGAAGAAGGGAGGCCTGAAGGGTAAGTAGGTAGCACATCCAGAAAAGGCCTTTATAAGGAGGGCTGTATTGGGCTCACAAATGGAAAGTGAAAATGAGTTGGCTCCCTCGATGGTGAGGATGGTGGATAGTGGAGCCCTGATTTTCCTGTGCTATCCTAAACGTGATTTTGAACGATGAGCTGGGATTCTCTTGTACAGAATCCTCCCTTTTAGGGCTCTCATGGTATTTATTGCTAATGGTATTGTTTTGGGGAAAAATCCTTTGGAATGAGGCGCAAAGCCTAACAGGATTTACAGGTTTATTTTCCTTCCAATGAGCTCTCTCTTCATAATTCCTGCTTTTTAGAGGCCAGGGAGTATTCAGTGTCCTGATTTGAGACTGAAAATAAAGTGTCTGTTACAGCACAAGGTCCCGGGACAAAGAACCTCCTTTGGGGGTGAAATACTGTTTAGCTCTAAATCTCTTTGGAGTAGATTTTTGCACGATACACTTGGTTGGGAAAGAATTGGTTGGTTGACTCCGAAGTTAGGATGTTTGACCTGTGTGCTTCCAAAAGATGAGAAGGCAAAGCATTTGTTGTTTCAAGTTGGCTTCTAAGTAGGTGAAGAGTTGCTTGGCATGTTGGGTTGGCTCGATAAGGGACGTGACCTTGAAAAACTTCCTGGTTATATTTGGCATCTCTTCTTATTGTACGCAGTTCTTTGCTCAGTCTCTGGCTACTGTTTAGTTGATTAATAGCCTGCTTGTCTTGGGGCATGGTGGGTGGAGGCTTTAAGAGGTGGAAAGAATGGGAGGAAAAGGGGACCGAGATGGGAGTGAGGAGATGGAGAGTTAAACGAATGACATGAAAAGACTATCAATTTGTTTATTTAGCCTTCAGTAGGTAATACGTGTTTACAAAACAACATGTGTACAAAAGAGCATGTAGTAAGAAGTAAATTTCCCTCCCTCTCATGTCCCCCATTCACCCAGTGCTCTTTCCCAGTTGGCAAACACTGTCATCAGGTTTTTTTTGTATTGTATATCCTTCCAGAAATATTCTATGCCTATATAACATATGAGGTATGATAAAAATATGGTGAGAGCTTAAATTAAAAATTTTTACAGTAGAAGATGCATTGCCCTTAATCCCCCTCAAAATATTTCCCCTCACTTCGAACACACTTATCCCATTCTTCTTGCCACTTTCTGAAGCAGTTCTGGAAGTTCTCTATTGTGTCTTTAGTTGCGCTGTTGTGGCTGCCT